TACATATTTTTTTTTTTTTTTTTTTTTTTTTTGTACGAGGGATTGAACTCAGGACCTTGTACTTGCCAGGCAGGAACTGTGCCCCTGAGCTATATCCCCCACCCAATATACATATTGAATCTTAATCCTTTTTATTTCCCCTTCCCCTCCCCTTTCTTCCCTGTGGCCATGTCCCCATTCCTAGATTCTCTTCCCATCTCCACCAAGTCTACCTTCCTAAAATTTTTAAAGGACTGGGAATATAACTTATTGTACAGTACTTAGCATGCACAAGGCCCAGAGCTCAAGCCCCAATACTATAAAAAGAAAGAAAATTTAAAAAGAAGAAACCTACAAGGGATGATGAAGAATGTCCTCACCCTAAGAGGGGCGGACAGGGAGAAGCACGCATCCCCTAGAGTCCAGAAGAGGGCTGTCTAGGACCCCACACACATGTGGCCGGCAAGGAAAGGGCAAGACCATGGAGTTGGTGCTGCTTTCTGAACTAAAGTCAGGGCTCCAGCCTTCTTTAGGCCATGCTAGCTTTCCTGATGTCTTGGCTCTTGACATGTTTATCTTCTCAAATTACTTGAGAGAAAGAAATTGGGGCTGACATTTCACAGGCTCACCCTTCAGGCTGGGGTGTGGGGTCCAGCTGTGTGAAGCCTAGCCTTCTGCTTCAAGGGTGTGGGGTTTTTTTGTTTGTTTGGGTACCAGATCGAGTTCGGTCCTTGTGCTTGCGAGGCAGGTAGAGGAACCACTGAGCTAAATCTGTAGCCCTCAAGGTTGTGGGCTAAAGGGGGGTCTTAAACCTTGGGGCAGTGGGGGCACACACAGCTCACAGTGTCTCTGCTCCACAGGTCAGCCTGCTGTTCCCCATCATCTACTTACTGTTTTGGGCCTTCTTGCTGATCTTCAGCCTATGGTCAGAGCCGGTGGTGTGTGGCATTGGCCTAGCCATCATGCTGACAGGAGTACCTGTCTATTTCCTGGGTGTTTATTGGCAAAACAAGCCCAAGGGCTTCAATGACTTCATTGGTGAGTTAATGAAGGCTTTGGGTGGCTAGGGCTCCTGCGCTGGGCTGGAGTGGTCTACAGGGGGAGGGCCCACCAAGATCTGGGTCAGGAGCCCTACCTGGGCACACCTTACCTGAGTCCTCAGGGCTCTGGAGAAGGTGGCAGCGCAGGAATGGCAGCTGCCTTCCCAGAGACTTCTGAAGGGAGAAGAGTTCATGTTTCCACAGGGATCTCAGTCCTGACAGCACAGGCAGCCACCAGCCATCCTACAGGAGCTGCTGGAGCTGGGTGGAGACCAGTGTGGACCCAGGAATTGGTCACTGGGCATTGACAAAGGGGAAGGCTGGGGCCTTGATGTGCAAAGGGCAGCTGACAAAAGATGCTAGAGACAGACATGGCGGCTGTCTCCTGCAGAGGGATCACTCACAGGCATGGGCTGCTCTGTGAGATGGAACCTGGGGCAGAACTGGCTGAGGTCATGGCTGCTTGGAAGGGTCAGCGGGACACTAGCACTGACCTGGTTTCTGTGTGGTCTTCTTCCATAGAGTTACTGACCTTGGTGAGCCAGAAGATGTGTGTCGTCGTGTACCCAGCACAGGAGGGAGACTTGGGGATGGAGGGTATAAGTGAGGACCTGGAGGGGCAGCGACAGTCCGTCTACCAGCCGGCACCTACCAAGGACCAAGACTCAGAGGATCAGCTGCAGGCCTAAGGACTATCCTCCCCTCAGCTATCTCTACCCTCCTTCCTCCCTGTTCCTGCCTTGCCTCCCTGCCTGGGCCCCCCAACACAAGCACGCACACACCCACCAGCAGGAGTAGGATCTGGGTGTTAGGGATGAGCAGTTATAAACAAAAATACTGACATCTGTGCCCAAAGTACCAGTCTCTCATACCAGGGCCATGCCCAAGCCCCCACACAAGGGCTGCCCACACTCTGAGCACTACAGGAGAGTGGAGATGCCAAGGGTTTCCTACAGCACTTCCCAGGCCTCCACCCTCAGTGCCTCCTAGGAAGCTGAGGTTGCTATTGCCTTCCCTCCCCATGCCTGAGCCTGAGGGGCCCTCAGTTTAGACCGAGGAGGCAGACAGACTGCACAAATCCATTACCACTGAAGGTCAGCTGGAGAGACCCAAACCCTCTTTCTTGACCCCTTCACCCAAAATAGAGGCGATACGTCCCTCTTTCCTCTTCCAACCCTGTGCTACCACCTCCACCACCATCCGCCCTGGCTTCCTGCTGGAGAAAGGCTACTTTCAGGACAGCTCCTCCAAGAGGGGTGGGAGGAGGAGGAGGAGGAGGAGGAGGATGTCAACCACCAAGGACCCTGGACCCAGCCCCAAGCCAGGCCTGTGGGAAAGGCTCAGATTGCAGCAGCCCAGCCCTGCCCCCCTCCTGCATCCCACCTACCAATGTGGTGCCAAAGCTTCCTGAAGCCAGAAAGCCTTCTTCCTTCCAGCATGGTGGGTCTCGCTCTCTCCTAATGACGCCGCCAGTAGGCTTCTCCTCTGTCCCCACTCAATGGAAAGGGGCAGTGACCCTCTTCCCTGCACCTGGGCCACACACCCACCTGGAGCCAGCCCGATGGCCCCTCCTGTTGTGCTCTTTCCTTCTCTCTGGACCTTGGCTCAGGGACCAGGTGTGAAGGATCCCCAAGCCCTTCAGGCCTGAAACCAGAGCCAAACCAGCCTTAAGTCACCTTCCATCCAAGAACTGGACCTAAAAATACTCCCTTATTTCTAAGCTGCAGGACAGACCTGGTATTAAATGCCTTCCCTGGGTGGAAGGGTGCTTTCCTACCTCCTCAGAGCTGCCTGTTCCACAACCTGGGGTCCATCTGGGAGA